AGTACGTTTCGCGGAGAATGATCAGCAGTAGTTGTGGACCCATATGAAAGTACTTCAAGTGTAAATCGTGTATAAGTAAGTCTGTCAAGATACCGTTAGTGAATAAAAGGATTTGGATGCTTCTGTGTATAGGAAAATGAAGCGTTCCTCAACCGGCCACGCCGGAGTACTCTCGCCTGATCGAGTACTGGATTAAGCAAAAGAATTTCATTGTGCGAATCTTGTTTCTTTGTAGATGATGTAATTCGCAAGCGAAAACTTCTTTCTGATGACATTTTATGAGTGTGGTTATGGCTTGTTGGAGCTCATCAACCGTAAGTGGCCCGCAGAGTCGCTGAGATGCTGACCTTGATGCAGTTCGTTTTGAATCTCATATATGTTGCAATTACTCTCTTAAGCCTGGGTCAACGATGAGTATCGATTGATGATGTCGAATGAGTCTTTCTTGTGAAATATCGTAAACAACCGAGTGCGTGCCTCAGATGTCTCTGTCGGTAATTGCATTAAAGATGCCGGCCATAGTGAAGGATTGGTCTTCAACCAAAACGGTCCTTCCCATCACATTGTGGCGTTAATCAGCTGTTCCGGCAGTATCCCATGCGAGATCAAATCAGTGGGATTGTGTTCTAAACGTACATGAGCCCAATTGGTTGGTCAAATTTCATTGGATCTCTGCAATTTTGTTATCAACAAAGACTTACCGCTGTGATGATTCACCTTGAATCCATGCCAACACGATTTCAGAGTCCGTCCAGAGATAATGTTTGGAGATCGTACATATGAGTGCTTGAGATACTCTGTAGACTAAATTGGAAAGAAGTGTAACTTAAGTATAATTCAAGTCGCGGAAGTGTGATGATCTTGAGAGGGATTACACGTGACTTCGCGGCTAACAGCTATATGTAAACCGTTCCAGTATCGTCCACGGATCGAAGGTAGACGCACGCACCATAAGTGCTGTGAGAAGCGTCACAGAATCCATGAAGTTGGATATCTTTCGAATTAAAATGGCGGTGTAAAATGGCGTGCCGAGGTATCGCGACTTTATTGATGATCGGCAGCTGCTGAAGATATGATGATCATAGTATCCGAAGCGTCTTTGGTATGGGTGTATCCCAGTCAATTTTCAATTGTCAAAGTGACTGCATTAGAATTTTAGCTTTAATGGTAACCGGTCCAATTAGGCCCAGCAGATTGAATATTTGCGTGATTAGCGATAGCATAGTATGTTTGGTGATAATTTCTGATATAGGGTTACAAGTTGCTTCATACCACCAGCAAATTCGCCATAATAATCCTGAAACCTTTGCATCCGTTAATCACCATAGTGGTCCAGGCACTCGTCCTGGTCGAGTGAGACGTTTGAACGAAACTTAGACAACTCGAATCCTGCGGTTATTAATATGTCGGTAACTTAAGTTTTAATTTCACGTAATTGCTGCACTGAGGCTACTCCCATAATAATACGATGTAGAAATCGCGGGCTGCATGGGGTGCGTCTTCTCATGATCAACCGATAATTGCTGTAGTAATCTTATAGCTAAGAACTCATGAAACGATTCCATACGTGACAATATTTAAATGTGTATGTTGTGGGTGGTTCCTCTGGATTGGATCTCCATAATATGCATTGATGCATTCAATGTTCCGGCTTTATTCTAATTTGTCTGTACATCTTGACGATGTCATCTGTCAAAACGTAAGAATGCAATCAAAAACGTATGATGATTTCGAATTCCGGTTGAATTGTAGATCCCACCAGCATCCAGTAATCATGGAGTGACTTCCCAGACTTGGTTGAACTGGAGGCGTCAAAAACAACTCGAAGTTTGGTCGAGGTTGAAAACTCTTTGGTCACTGCATGATGAGGTAAATAGTTGATTTTCTGATCGTCAGTAACTGACAACATGGACATATAACCAAGATTTATGTAGTCATCCATGAATTTGACATATCTAGTTTGTAGTTCGTGATCTCTTAGGAATTTACGCTCCATTTACTGCTACGTAATCGTTTTAACGCATTTGCCCTGTACTCCTCTAGATAGCTGGGGTCTTCACGAAATAGCAATGGAACATCGAATCGCCCGTCTTGAGTTCGGCGATATTTTTTCTGAAAGATATCTTCGCATGTAGATTCTTTCTTAGAGAGTATTCTTACATTAGGCATGTCCTCGATGTGCCAAAATCTTTTAATTTGTGCCTGCAAGTCTTCGTTTTACACAAGTCCATATATGGTATAGTGACGTTAGTGTGCGACAACGCATTGGTCCGATTATCTTTACAACAACCAACCCAGTTTTGTGGATTGCAGCACTGGCTGTTTAGCTCCTAACTGAATTCTGTCCATTTCCAAGATGTCCCAGAAGACCGTTGCTCCCAATAGCAAATCGCAAATCCCAATAGTAAAGTGCAGCGTGTGGAAGTTCAGGTCCGTCAACTTGA